CAAATCAGAGCTCAAGTGCCTCAAATATGCAAGTTTGCAAACAAAGTGGCTGAAAACTTCAATAACTCAACCAGCCGTGCAAATTTCATCTCGTCGGTACGCAGCGAACAAAACCAAAAATTTAATATTAAATATTGACAAATTGTTATCTTACATCCCTACGAAATGTATAGAAATAATGATATTTATCTGTGATTTTTACTCAAACTTTAAAATAAGTGGCAATATTGACTGTGATATAGCCATATATTGAGTTGGTGATTAACTTTTGACCTGCCATTACTTTATCATGGAAACTACCGTTTGTGTCAATGTATTTGCGAAAATCAGAATACTTTTTTATGTCTTTCGGTCTCTACTAAATTGTGTTAAATTTTATAGACCAAACTAAATTCAAATCGAGAAAGACTGCTATAACTATCTATTGTATGAAAATACCCTATATTGTACAAACACGAAAAGATCAGTTTTTTCACGACTCTTGGAGTCGTTTTCCTGCAAACCAAAATATTCAGCCAGTTTTTGGCGGTGTGAAATAAATAAATAAACAATAAGGAAAAATATCGCGTCACGACTTTTGAATTTAGTCTTCAAGTCAAGCTTTAAAGCGTTTTGCCGTCCAAAAGTATAAAGATATCAGTCATTTTGAGTGGTAAATCCACGCACGGAGCGTCACTCCGTTTCAACCTCGTCTAGAGGTTTTTCATCTGATCACATCTAGACAATTAAACGATTTGCCAGAGATCGAAATTGTAGAACCAACTGAAAATACTAATGGTAATGATAATCAAATAACAAATGTGCCCGCAGACAATGTCAGCATTCACATTCATGAATTGGATCTATCAGTGAATGTTGAAAATAATTCGGCATCAGATTATGATACCGCTGAAGGTGAAAATTCAGATGTAAGTTCGGGAAGTGATAATGAAGTTGTTATTCAACCTAACATTCCTGTGCCCAATATTCAGAGAGAATATAGAACGCGTAGTGGTCGTACTGTGAGACCGCCGCAATACTATGGTTTTGATTAAGTTAGGTAACAATCGGAAAGGTAGCCTGGTACACCCGTACCAAGGGTAATATTGTTAGTAACTTAAAATTTGAAAAAAAAAGAAAAAAAAAGAAGCGTGTAATAATGTGAACTAGACTTAAGAACAAAATTTATATTGATTGTGACACTCGTGTATGACGTTTGACAACCAACGTCAGTTGATCAACAGCCGTATTAATAAGCAGACTCACCAATTCACACACTCAATAAATATAATATTAAATCATTTAAATTATAATTGTGTTATTATTTTACGTGCTTATTACAGTACCCGTAGATCCATATTCCAATTCTTCGATTAGTATGAAAGAATTTGGGTCTTCCATGCGTCGAGCTTTGAGTAGAGATTGAGCTAAAACATCTTGAGCAGTAGCATTGATTGGTGCTTTTAAGATAGCATACGGAATGTCCGGTGAAACATTGTATACGCAAACCAAAAATGTGTCGTCATCATCCCAAGAAGTTGGAGTCTCGTTCGAAGCACTGTTCGATGTATTTTCTTCGCCATTCGTGAACATCGCACGTCGTTCAGACACACTTCGAATAGAAGTCAGCCAGGCTCGGCTACTAGGATCATTACCTATTTTTTTGAATATGAATCTGCCCTCGCCTTGCCACATTGCTTGCGTGTGCAATACTTTTTCGTGCATATCAAGCACACGTTGAGTCGCAGGCAAATCTCGATCTTTCTTCTTCCATCCGCGTCCAACCTCAGCCACTAATATATAGTCATTAACATTTTGCCCGATGCGATTACTTTTCTGTAGGGCTTGAGCGATTAGTTCACGCGTGGTGCTCTCTTGTGTTGCACGTAAAATCGTAAATGGTTCCCCAGTGATTACTCCGTAAACCATGACGAAGAACATTCTCCGTTTGAGGGGTATATTTGCACTAACCATGGTCGCAGTTACACTTTTCTGAGCATCTTTTATGGGTGTCCCTGAAGTCTCTCTGCTGTCACAGCTTTTCATAAAATCTGTCGATGTGTGTGTATTGTCAATTTTGTTATAGCCACTAATGCCACAATATTCATCGGTTTCGTCAGATGTACGTTCGAAGCTCTCTTCTTCAACACGAGAGTACACAAAAAGAGCAGCCATGCTCAATGGTTGATTATTTGGCGAACGAAGTCGAACGTGTCGGTAACCTGGTCGTAGGCACTTTAATGGAATCACACGTTGCGACACCATCTGATTCGTATCGTTATCGAAAACACTAAATTTTAAAAAGGCCAAGTCATGGAACATTACTTTGAAGAAAAAGGTATCATTCCAAATGGGGTTTAGTGCATTTCGTCTGATCACACGTGTTTTCTTCTTGCTACAATCAACTGGAATACCAATCATCTCTACTTCGACGAAAGTACTGGCCTGCAAATTAGATTGTTGCACAAATTGTCCGGAAACAATATTCATGACAATTTGTGATGAATGCAATCCATCGAACTCCCTTTCCAATGGATTAAATCGACGATACATTAAATGTGTGTGGTCCCATAAGACATCTGAAAGAATTGATTAATTGAAGCTTTTCTAAGAGATGGTTTAATATCAAAAGTAATGGTTTATCTTACCTGGTTTCAAGACATACCCACAACTTCCATTCTCTTCGAACATTCCAGTGTTAATTGCCAATGGTAAATCGTCAGTTTGATAATTTAATGCAACAAGTTGAATGCCAAACGCCCAGAAAAATACTGGATTGAAATTGGATGAATCAATACGCAAGCCAGCCGGATATGTCCTCATCAATTGTGTTTCAGTGTGAGCGATGAGAGCTAGAGGATGTTTTCGACACAATTTCTTAGCACTAGGCTCGTTAACTGACGAGCATTGATAACAAGGATAATTGACATTAACGTGATGTAGTTTGCGGTGTGTGGACGTGGTACAGCATGCAGCTGTTGATGTTGCTGTTGATGTTGTTATTGTTGTTGTTGTTGCTGTTGTTGTTGTTGTTGTTGTTGTTGTTGTTGTTATTGTTGTTATTGCTGAAGTGCCCACTGACTGTGAATCTGTCTCTGATTGAATTAAACTGAGCTGGACTGGGGTAGATTCAATCGAAACAGATTGCACGCTTTCGTCCAACGGATTACTTCCGGTTTGAGGTGCACATGGCGATACGCTACTTGTTCTAAGAATGCTGCCCACCGTTACAAGTGACCCACTGGAATCTAGCTTTGTTGGCATTGGTTGCTGTATTCTTATTGAATTTTGTGGAGTGATTGGATTCAAACCACGGAATTTTATCGCTTGCACGTAATTCACGATATCTGAAAGTTCCCTTGATATTTGACTGCTACGTTTTTTTAATTTATCATCAATCTCAACGCGTCGTGTTGGCGTCGAATATGATGACAAACTGTGTCTTGACGCACGTTCGTCCACTGATCCGAAAATCGTATGGAAAGTTTTCTCTGCAAAAAAATAAATAGGAAAAGTAGTGATTCTTTTCATGAAATCTTCAGCTCAAAAAATTGTACCGAAGCGCCA